ACCCTAGTTACTATATAAGTCCTATGATCCTTTAACCCTAAACCCCCCCCATAGATCCCTTTAAGGAACCCTTTAAGGAACCCTCTAAGTTACTAAGTCCCATGATCCTTTAAGTAAGGTTTGTGGGTCGTGGGTCGGAGAGCCGAGATCAGCTACGAAGCCCTGCCCCTCTCTGGCTCGATCTCCAAATCCTAAACACCAAATGGGAGTTTCCGAAAATTAGGGGTACTTTAGGGTTCCTTTAAAGGGGTCTATAAGGGGTTCCTCTAAGCGTGGTTTTAGGGTTTAGGGTGTCGGTTTCGGGTTTGGGGTTTAGGGTTGGGTTTAGGGTCTAGGGCTTGGGGCAATAGGTAACTTACTCCGTAGACCCAAAACACAGCCTCTGCTTTTCGTGACCTCTTAGGCTAAGACTCCTAGGGCTTTTACTACGATGAACTCGAAAATCTTTCTTAGTTCCCAGGCAACAGACAGTTCTACCCCGAATTTTGACAGCCACTTCACTGCATCGCGTCCATGGCGGCGAGGCGGGCGCGCCACGTGCGCAGCAACTCTTCGGCAATTGAGACCAAGACTTCGTTGGCCAAAGTCTCCCTGAGGCTTTGCGGACTTTGCAACAAAAGACCACACCCTACATGTACTGTAACCTAAGCCTGGATTTTGAACCCTTCGCCCCAAAACTCCTAAAACCTAAAATCGTGACCCCAGACCTCAAGACAAACACTGTCCGAAGCTTGACAGGCTGGTTGGGAGTAGCTGGGTTATCATGATCTTTGCATAAAGGGCAACTGCAAATCTTCGATTTAGGTTTAAGTTAGTTTAGGTCTAATCACGATGGCACGGGTGAGAATTGAAGTTGTCGGGTCAGCAATTCAATTCAATGCTTAGACGGGGTGGCCTCTGTTCAGCCCTTCAGAACCCTATGAACCCGAAATCCTAAACCCTTTAACCTTAAAAAGCTAAAACCCTCAAACCCTAAACTCCTAAAACCCTAAAACCACCCAAAAAACTCTAAACCCTACACATGGAAACCTTCGATGAAGGCACCCTACTTCCATACTGCCCGCCTTGACTCCTGGCCGAAAGCCTGGCGCAAAGCCTGTGCGGCAGTGGCGTAGCAATGTCATCTAGGGGCAATAGGGGTCCATTTAAGGGGGTACAATAAGGGATCTATAAGGGTACTATAATGCAGGGGCCTTATCAATCAGAAATGGTTTCGGGGCCTTATCTAGAGGCATGCATCAGAGGGTTTAGGATTTAGGGTTTGGAAGAAAGGGCTCTGTGGTATTCTCTAGGTTTAGCAACATAGAACCTACAAGGTCCTGAATAAGGAAGAGTTTCTGTGGTATTCTATTACCATAGCATAAAACCCTAAACCCTAAACCCCTAAAATCTAGAGATTCCAGATACTACAAGGTGATTCTTACCAATTCGTCGACCCTTGGAAGGGTTCTGCAGGCTCCACGGAAAAAAGCCGCGAGGGGTTTCAGGGTTCGGGACTCGTTGTGGTTAGGGGCCCTGACTTAAGGGATACGGGGCTTAGGGATGTTTAGGGCTTCAGAACTCAGAGGTGAGGCGTTTGAGGGCTTCATGCTGTAAAGTTGGTCGGGTTTAGGATTTAGGGGTTTAGGGCTTAGGGTTTAGTTGGCAGGATATGAGGGTCCGGGCAGCTTTGGATGGAGTTGAAGGCTTGGGCTCAGGGTATTTTACCTGAGCCCCGGGTACCCTGATCTGTATGACGCCTCTCGCTTCAAGACAGCCAGGGAGGACGGTGAAGCTTTCAACCCAACCTTGTGCGATTCCAACCTTTGATACTTGTGTACTATTGCTACTCCTGCTCTTGTCCATGTTCCTTCTATCAGTCTGGATATCAGTGCCAACACCACTACCACCATGAATACTGCTGACAAACTGTGCGGGTGTTGGAATTACTGCTGACGGACAAACTCCTGTGGTACCTTAAAAGACCAAGCCCTAAACCCTAAGCCCTAAACCCTAAACCCTAAACCCCTAAACCCTAAACCCTAAACCCTAAACCCCTAAACCCTAAACCCCCCCTAAACCCCTAAATCAGTAAATGGGCTCATAGCACTAAATCCCCAAACCTCTTCAGGGTTTGGAAACCTCCTTAACCCCTAGGGTTTAGGGTTTAGGGTTTAGGGTTAAATCTTCCAGGTTCAAGGTTTAAGAACCCCCCCACCAATTAGCCTCCGCTAGCTCGGCGTCCTCGCCGTTACCAAGTAATGTGCGCATGGCTGCGCGGAGCACGTCCGGCACGAGCTGCTCGATGTCGCCGATGTCAATCCCTAGGGTTTTGGAGTATGAGTTTGGGACGTAAGATGCAGGCTTAGAGGATTGAGGACTCGGGAGTGGAGATCTCGGGTTGAGGATTTGGGCCTAGTACAGTAGGATTTCCACCACCCTCACAAGCCCTAACCTCAAGAAACCCCCCGTATCCTAAACCTCAAACCCCAAACCCTAAATCCTCAGCAGGGTGCCTAAGCCCTGGAAGGCATCTCGGAAGGTGCCGAAGTCCACATCTTCGGACGTACCCAGGGCTGGAAGGACAGCCTCGAAGATGTCCTGACTTCGGGTTCTGGATTTTTTTGAACGCCTTTTTCCGAGTTCTGGGTTTGGGGTTTAAGGTTTGTTTTAGGTTGAAATGCACTCCCTTTGCCAAGATCCGTAGGGTTTCGGGTTCAGGGTTTAGGGTTTCGGGTGGTAGGCCGGTTTAGGGTTCAAGGTTTGGGCTTTGAGGTTTAAAGCTTGGGGCTTTAGAAGGGCTGCCACAAATGGCTTCGCAATGGTTTGCGGCGGGCTTCAATAGGAAGTTTGTAGACAAAAATCCGGCTTGAGAGTTTTGGATTGTAAATTCGGGTCTCAGGGTTCTGGGTTGCGGGCTGAGAATGTTGCGGTTTAGGGCCGCTTAGGGTTTCAGGACTAGAACTTGATACTTAAGGGCTGCAATTTCGGGATGTGGTTCGTGCTGAATCTTCAACCTTCTGGATCTATTGGATCAATTTCACAGACGTAGGCTCGAAGCTCTAAACCCTAAACCCTAAACCCTACACTCTAAACCCTAAACCCTTTTCAAGACGTAACTTTCCTGAAATTAGGACCGAAACCCCTGAACCCCCGCTCCCCATGTAAACGCTGAAGACCTGGAACCTCAAAAGCCTAGACCGAGAAAGCCCATGCACAAAAAATCCATAAACCCTAACAACCCTTTAAAACAAAACCTGCAAAGCCGCATAAACCCAGAAAGCACATTTAAAAGAAACTGTATAGTATAAACCCATAAAGTCCATAAAAATAGAAAATCAAAAAAACTTCTACAAAAACCCCCTCAAACTCTATGGAACCCTCGAAACACCCTAAACCCTAAACCCTAAACCCTAAACCCCTAAACCCTAAACCCCCTAAACACCATACATCCTTTAAGGAACCCTATAGATCCCTTTAAGGAGCCCAAGCCCCACCTCGGCCGGCAGCACCGCCAGGCCTCTCTCGAAGAGCTCCGCATTGGACCCTTCGACGTTGCGCGGCACCGGGATAAGCAGCGGGGGCGCCGGGAGCGCAGGGAGGCGGCCCAGCAAGGGAAGCCTGGAAGTAGGATCTCGGTTTTAGGGGTTTAGGGGTTTAGGGTTTGGGTTTTGGTTTTTAGGAGTTTAGGGTTTAGGCTTTAGGGGTTTAGGGTTTGGGTTCTGGGGTTTAGGACTTAAGGCTTTTCTTCTCCACCTTAGGCCTTACGGGGTGTGGGGTTTAGGGTTTGGCTTCTCAATATCATCGTCTCCCCATCGTTTTGAGTCAGAAGGTGGTACCTGCTTGAAGCAAGAATGCCCCCTGAGGCTCCATGTGCCCATATAGTATATACTTGGGGTTTAGGGTTTAGGGTTTAGGGTTTAGGGTTTAGGCCTTAAAGTACCTATATGGGGACCCCGTTAAGGCTTTAAGTATCTACTATAAAGGTACATGGAGCCTTTGGGGCCGTGCCCGACTGAACCCAGAGCCTGGACCCCTGGCCCCCAAAGCCCTGGCTCCGCTAAACCCCGAACACGCAAACCCTGAACCCCAAAACCCCTAAACCCCTAAACCCCTAAACTCTATACCCCTAACTTTACTGTAAACCCCGAAACCCCTAAAGCCCTACTTGTCCCATAAGATCCTTAAACCCTGAAACCCCAACAGATCCCTTATAGATTCCTTCAAGGAGCTCTGTAAGGAACCCTTTAAGTTACTAAGCCCCTAAACCCCCCTAAACCCCCCAAACCCCAAAGCCTCGGCTGCAGCAGATCTTGCAGCGTGGTGCGGAGACGCCGGCCCGTGCGCCGAAGCACAAGGTCCTCCCAGGGAGGGCTCCACAGGAAGGCTAGGGATCCCTTACTTGGAGGATCATGGGACTTTGTAAGTAAGATCCCTTTTTAATATGGGTACTATAGGGTTCTATAATGGGGTTCCTTAAAGGGATCTATACTTGGGTTCTATAATGGACGATCATGGGACTTAGTAAGTAAGGTTATAAGTACCCTAATTGTGGTTACAAGTGGTTATAAGTATCATTACCCTAATAATAGCCCTAGTTACTAAGTCCCATGATCCTTTAAGTAGTTGCCCCAATTAAATCATTACCAATAACAATTTTGGGGGGATCCTTATTATAGGTATAAGATAATATACCCCAAAAACCCTATTCTAATCTTAGTTGCAGAGTTCATAAGCCCCCAAGAAGTGTACACTTTTGGTTTGGTTGTGGGTAATTTTCATCCAAAAAAGTGTAAAGTGCATCCACTCAGCTACTAAGATCCCAAATGAGGGGGTTGCAGGCTTCTTTCAGAAGGCTCTTTAAGGGTTCAGGGTTCCTTTAGGGGTTTAGGGTTCTGTAAGGGTTTAGGGTTCTTTAAGGGCTTTGGGTTCTTTGAGGGTGCAGGGTTCTTTTAGGGTTTAGGGTTTGGGAATGCTAAATCCCAAACCCCATACCCTAAATAATACCAAAACCCAAAACCCTAAACGTGAATGCTACCTACTCGGTTCCCCAGGAGGTCCAGGCCGTAGGTGAGCTCCGCATTCAGCAGCGGCCGGAGATTCCGGGCCGCCGGGGACAGCAAGAATCGCACCACATCCTCGGCTCTTGCTAAAGAACGTGTATTCCTGGGGTTACTATCCCGAACCCTTTATCCTAAACCGTGTTTTACAGAGTGTTGTAAGCTTCTGTGGGGTTCATAAAGCCTTGAGCAAGGGCTCCATAGGACTGTTCGGAGTTCCTGAAAAAGAACCCAAAACAGCTGCAAACAAACAGGGCTTAGGGCCTAGGGTTCAGGCTTACCAAAGCGCCGAAACCCTTTTAGGGTTTGAGACTCCACAGAAACGCATAGAAGACCTATCCACCCACATAAAACCCTTTGCAAAATCCGATACAAACCCTACCAGAAACCCTAAGCGAACACCAGCTCCTCAACCCTACACCCCTAAACCCCCCTAAACCCCCCTAAACCCCCCTAAACCCCCCTAAAGCCCTAAACCCCCTAAAACCCCCAAAACCCCCGAAACCCCCTAAACCCCCCTAAACCCCCTAAAAACCCCCTAAACCCCCTAAGCTCTGAGACGAGCCAGGCATCCTTCGCGGGCGCCCCCTCCTCGGGCACGGCGTCGAAGTCGATGAAGCCACTCCTGCATCCATCAAAGGGGAAAGGAGGGACACTTAATGGGCACCCCTGGGTCCCTATAATGGGCTATATAATGGGTATATAATGGCTATATTAAGGGTATATACCTATACCCTTGGAATCCATGCTTCTAAACCCGGAACCCCAATGCCCCAAACCCTAAACTCCCTTAGGGTTTAGTGTTTAGGGTTTCAGGGTTCAGGGTTTAGACTTTAGGGCTTAGGGTTCAGGGCTCAGACTCAGGAAGCGCCGAAGATCCTAAAGGCTTCCTCTCTGGACTACTCTTGGGATTCCCATGAGGCCTCCATAAAAGGATCTCTCCGATAAGTTACGGAAAATATGAATGCTCTACCATATCTTGCTCCCAAACCCCGTCTCTTGCTGTTGAGGCACCTAAACAAAATCCTGTGAAACCTGACCTTCAAGAGGTGGAAGCCCAAAAATGTAAAAAACACACACACAATTCGAATCATTCAAGACCCTCTATTCAACCTGGCCCTGCTCTATACCCGACAAAAGCCGAATGAGAAAAACATGAAAGAGCATTCCCATGAGCCCTGGCAATAACCCTATAGCACACGAATAAAACTAGCCCTAATTACACTAAAACCCTAAATCCCTAAACCCTAAAACCCCAAAACCCTAAACCTCTAAATCCTAAACCCCTAAACCCTAAACCCTAAACCCCAAAACCCGAAAACCCTAAACACCTAAACCCCTAAAACCCTAAAACCCTAAACCCTAAAACCCCAAAACCCTAAACCCTAAACCGCTAAACCCTAGCACCCTGACACCCTAACCCCTAAAACTTTAGGATCATTTCAACCCTAAACCTCCCACAGATGCCTTATAGATCCCTTACAGATCCCTTTAAGGATACTAAGTCCCGTGACCCTTCAAGTAGCCCTAAACCCTAAACCCTAAGCCCTACACCCCCCTAGATCCCTTATAGATCCCTTTAAGGAACCCATAGATCCCTTTATAGATCCTTTTAAGGAACCCTTTAAGTAGACCCTTCAAGTAGCCCTAGGCAACCCTCCCTAAACCCCTACACCCTACCCTTATAGATCCCTTTAAAGGGAACCCTTATGGATCCCTTTAAAGAACCCTTATAGATCCCTTTAAAGGGAACCCTTATAGATCCCTTTAAAGAACCCTTATAGATCCCTTTAAAGAACCCTTATAGATCCCTTTAAAGAACCCTTATGGATCCCTTTAAAGGGAACCCCTAACCCCTAAAACCTTCGAATTCGGCTCCTGGAGCCCTCGGATGCCCCAGCCACCACCCCCAGGGAGGCTTGGAGCAAAGTGGCCAACCTGAGTTTAAGGCTTTAGGTGCAAGAATAAGGGCCTTAATAGTTAGCAGAGGGTTTAGGTGTAGTTTTTAGTGTAATTATGATCATAACGAGCCCCTAAAATAGTTTTGGAATTTATTTAGGCCGCTATAGTAACTTTTAGGCGGGTTTCGGGTTCAAGGAGGACTCGGTTTAGGGTTTTTTAGGGCTCAGGGTCTTGCGTTTAGGGTGTCGGATTTAGACGTTTAGGGTTTACGGTTCTAGGGTTAGGGTCTTGGGTTGAGGGTCTAGGTTGTTGGGCGTTTGATTTTGAGGGATTTGGAGTTTAGGGTTTTAGGGTTTAGGGTCTTGGGTTGAGGGTCTAGTCTAGGGTGTTGGGTGTTGGATATAGAGTCTTTGGGTTTAGGTGGGTTGAGGGTCTACGGTGTTGGGTGCTGGAGGTTTAGGAAATCGGGCTGTGTAGTGTCAGTTTTTTGTATGCATCAATGCGGGTTATGGGTGCTGATACGGGCGTTACAAAGGCTTTGAAACTGCTTTTCGAACAATGGCATCATAAGGATGTGAGGAACCTGTTTCTGACTTACCATCACAGGGATGTACAGCAAACAGCTTGGTAGCCCTTGTTTACCGTCACAAGCACGACCCCAGCAACCTAAACCCTCGACCCGAAGCCAACCCGAAAGCCACCCCAATATAGGGGCCTTAATTAATAGTCAGAAGAGGGTTTTGGGGCCCATTATACTGTAACTATAACAAGGAACCCTCCAAAATACTGTAGGTAATTGTTAAGGCCCCTACAGTAAACTCTAAACCCCAACCCAGCGGCCGCTGTGGCCGCATGCGCCGCGTCTGGGGGTCGTAGAGGAGCTCGCGAAGAGCGGCGAAGGAGCGGCGGTTGGAGTTCTGCAGAAGCCGGCGCACCACGAAGGGATAGGCCATCGCGACGATCCTTTTAGGGCTGAAGGTTTAGGGTTTCTCAGAGTTTAGGCTAGTTCAACTTGCCGTTGCAACAGGATCTTAACTCCTGCAGCCGACAACCTGAGTCCTAAAACCATCCATGCTAAACTGCAACAGAACCCTAAACATCCAAGGCTCTAAATGCCAAAACCACTACCCTGATGCCAAAAGGCCTCCTAAACCCCACGAAAGCCAACATATATAATGTAGGAGCCTGAAGGTTAGTGTATAATCCTATTGGGACCCCTAAGGAATAATACTGGTATTTCGATAGTTGTTCAGGCCTCCATATTACGCTGAATTAGAATAAGGTGTTTTGGCGCTTGTCTTGTATAGTTATAATAAGGAACCCTTAAGGAATAACATGGGCAATTATTTAGGCTTCCATATTACCCTGTTCGCCCTAAACCCTACACCCTAAGCCCTAAACCCTACACCCTACACCCTAAACCCTACACCCTTAACCCTAAACCCTAAACCCTAAACCCTACACCCTACACCCTAAACCCTACACCCTACACCCTAAACCCTAAACCCCAAACCCGGCAGGGCTCTGGTACTGGGGATCCCCCTGTAGAGCCACGCCCTCCAGGGTCGCCACGGAGCGTGCCAGCAGTGACACGTAGGGTGGGATGGAGAACTTCACCTGGTGAGGGGGTTTTGGGGTTCAGGGCTTTAGGGTTTAAGGGTTTGAAAGTTTAAGGGTTTAAGGGTTTAGGGGTTTAGGGGCTTAGGGATTTAGGGGTTTGGGGGGGCATTGAGCTTTCGAGAACTTCACTTGGTGAGGGCATTGAGGGGATAGGATGTAAGGCCTCTTTAGAATTTCGGGCTTAGGAGTAGAGGGCTTCAGAGCTTTTGTGATTCTGGATAAGGGCTGTCAGTGGCTGGCTAAGTCTGGGTGTCCCGTCTAGGTGCCCCTAGGGCTTAGGATCCTAAAGTCTTGAAAACCCTACTCAATCCTGGTCCCTACACCCGACTCTTGTGTTAGAACCCTCCATTGGGCACCCACCTCAAGGTTCACCTTCAAGAGGTCCTCTGCGGCATGCCATGGAGGGGGCTGCAGAGAAGAGGACGAATCTGACCAGGGGTTCTGGGGTCTGCTGGAAGCATTCATGGTGTCTTGGTATAAAGTGTGCAAGGGGCCGAAATGCTTGAAGTAAATTGGGGACTTGGGCGTGGGACACTCGATATAATATAAATGGTTTAGTAAGGGAACCGTAAACATTGTTTCTACTTAGATTCTACGTGTTCAGGCGCAGACAATCAGGCTTCTTGGAATGGGTAAAAGGTTACCACCGGACCACAGAACCCTAACAGAAGCCTAGTGACTACGCTCACCGTTCCTCAAGTTCCTTTTTATAGCCATACTATACTACACTGCTCGAGATTACTGAAGCTAGATTAGAGCCGTGTCCTGCGTCAGAGCCTGGAAGTTGGCATTCTTGAATGCCTGCGCCAGGGGATGGAGAGCCCAATACCCCTTAATGAAGGAATATACCTTAAATCATTAGGGGCTTCATATTATGGCTTAAGCTATATTCCTTAATTAAAGGGTAGACGGCTCTGGGTTCCAGCTCTTGTAAAGCTAAGAGTCTGAGTCTTGGGGTTTGAGCTCTGGGGTCCAACTTGGTCCCATTTACACAGTCTAGGGTTCAGGCTTCTTGTGCGAATTCCACTATTGGTCGAAAGGTTCGAAAACTGTCCTACAACCGCGGCCTTCGAACCGAAAACCCAAAATCTCACCCGCCCCCAAAAAGACTTACAAGCACCAATCCCCCGCTACCAAAAAAAATACTCCACCCTCAAGAAAGAAGCAAAGGAGTTGGGTGCGGCCCCCACTCAGTAATGGTTGATTAATATTCATAATAAAAATATAATAGGACCTTAATAGTAGCCCTGTTATAGACGCTTACTGTAAGGGGGCAGTACCTACCACTATACTGAACTTAGAACCCTAGCAAAAATGGTAATTTTAGCTGTTTCTTAATTAGGGATTATAATAACCAAAAACTAAACATTATTTCTAAGCACCCCTAAGAACAAATGAGCAAATACGAAACTTCCGCCCTGCTTTTCGACTCTGAATCGTCCGCTCCTGCGCGCCGCCGCCCTTCAAGTAGGGCCCCAGGACGCGCTGGAGGATCGGCACCAAGGCGGCCTTTTTAGGGCTCAAGTTGTTGACTTAAAAGTGCTTAGAGGGATTACGGTTTTGGGTTAAGAGTTTAGGATTTCCGGTTTAGGGTGCAGGTTTAAGCTGTAGGGCTCAAGTTCTGTTTTCGGCTTTAGGGTGTTGGGGAACACTTCTTGTTTTCGTTTGAGGCTGGTTTGTCAAGCTTGCTAAAGGAGGCTAGACCAAACCTTCAACCCCAAACCCCAAGCCTGAATCCTAAAGCCTATGACAATAACCTGAGTGTTTAGGGTTTAGGGTTTAGGGCAAGCAGCTAGTCAGACAAGAGCTAGCCGTGCACCTGAGAGCCTTCGAGATTCGCGGTTCCGGGTCTCTTTTGCGGGTTTCAATGCACGGAAGCTTGGGGCTATCTGAGGGTCTGTCGAAACAGTGTTCTTTTTTTAAAAAAAACGAGAAGGGTTCAGGGTTCAGGGTTTCCAGCTGGGTGCTTCGTTGGTTTCAGGGCTTGGGGCTGTGGCTTAAAGTCTTCGAAGAGTCATGCTACACCCAAGAAAGGCTCGTTTGAAGAGATCATGCTGGGAGCACTGACACCATATGGGAGTTTCCGAAAATAGGGGTACCTTATTGTTGACTCTATAATAAGGACCCTACTATTTAGGGTACTATATTAGGGTCCCCTATTTTCGGAAACTCTCACATGAGTTGAAAGCCCTACTAGCTTAGCAGGGGTAACATCAGCTTAGTAAATCTTACAACGAGTTATTACCTATTAAGAAAGCTTGCAATGATACTAAGGGTCACCACTGGTTAACAATTGGGTAGTTGTCAAAATTAAGGTCCCTTTCCGTTTTGGGGTACCCTACATACTAGTTGCCAGTATTCGAATAGGGACCCCAAAATGGGACCCTAATTTTGACAACCACCCAATTATCGAACCCCCCCCCCCCCTGCCTGGTCCACATCTTCAGCCAGAAACCTGAGCTGCTGGAAGTCGGCGATCAGAGCCTCCCAGTTCTGCGTTCCTGGGCACGCGGCTTTGCTCTTCGTGTTGACAGGCAGCGAGCAGAAGGTTTAGGATCGCAAGAATGCGAGGATGTTGGGATGACTGTGGCGACAATGATGATGATGATGCTGATGAAGCTGATGATGATGATGATGACGATGATGATGCTGATGCTGATGATGATGCTGATGATGATGATGGTGATGATATATGATGAGGATGATGATGATGATGACGATGATGATGATGATGATGACGATGATGATGATGCTGATGGTGATGATGGTGATGATATGATGATGATGGTGATGATGATGATGATGATGACGATGATGATGATCATGCTGATGATGATGATGCTGATGATGATGATGGTGATGATATATGATGATGATGACGATGATGATGACGAGGATGATCATGATGGTGATGATGATGATAATGATGATGATTATGATGCTGATGCTGATCCTGATGTTGATGCTGGAAATGACGATGCTGACGGTGGCGGTGACGATGAAAGGGATGGCGATGGTTGAGCCTACAACCAACCACTGACACGGAGCAGAAGCTGAGCATGAAATCAGGCGGCTTTTCAGTATCTAGGATACCCAGTAGCCTAAGAGTAAAAAGGCCTCTCTTTTTGGTATTGGGTAACTTTACAAGGAACCTAGGACGACAAAAAGGGAATAAGGGTACTACTGGGCATCCTAGGTATCTAGGCTTTTGCATCGGAAACTCCTAGGGCAGAAATTCTCGAACTCGACATCGATTCAAAAAGGGGTGAGAATCAACAACCCAGTAAGCCGTAAACCCAGAACCCGAAACTCTAGAGCCCTAAATCCTGTAGAAACAGAACATTGGGCCACGAGACCCAGGTGCACCACAGCAGAGATGATGAGCTCGCGATCCTCCCGAGGCACCTGAGAAACGGATCATGCCCGGCTTAAACGGGCAGTGGACCTACCTAACCAGTAGTTTTGGGGTTCCCTTGGCTCTTTAGCTCCTTTTTAATAGGGATTATCATCATCCCTGGCTTCTTAGCTCCTCCAATATCAAAGGTTAGCTACTCTCCGAAAGGGGCTTTTAAGAAATAGGGTCTAGGGTTTCGGGAAGAATCTCGACCCTAGGGCTTGGGGGTCAGGGCTGGGCTTAGGGTTTGGGGTTTAGGGTTAGGGGTTTGGGTTCTTGGGGCTTCTGGCTTTGAAGGGTTTCCTCGATGAGCAGAGAGGCGTGATCCGTTTGAAAAGGCTTTGTGAAGACTATGGTGTCATTGGAGCAAGGCTGGCAAAAATTGCGGTCTTAATAATCAGAAAAGGGTTTTGCAAGTTGCATAGGACGAAAACGGGATGCTATTCCAACTGCGCAAGCCATTCTTTCAAAACCATGGATCTTCGATCAGCGGAACCCTGAAACCTAAAGCTCTAACACAAAAACCGTCGCCGCTAAATCAAAAAGAACCTAAAAACGCAACTCTAAAACCAAAAAGAATCCCAGAAGCCAGAGGCCTCAAGGACCCGGCAAACCAAAGCGAACCTGAAACCCAAAGCCCTAAACACCGGCCAGTGGAATTCCTCGCGCCCTTTGGCCTGAAAACCAAGAAAACCCGGGTGAAATCAAAAGACATCTTCACAACAGGTTCTGACAACAAACAATGCTCAAAAGAGACATTATGGAAAACAACAACAGTAAGAATCATCAGAAGAATAAGCAGCTTAAGGGTAATGGTGCCACTAAACCCTAAGAAGCAAGACAACAAATCCACATCCCAAAAGCCAAAACCCCAAACCCAAAAACTTAACCCAAACCCTAACCCCTCAACCCCGACACCCGTCGACACCCGTCAGCATAAACTGCAAACTGTTGATGATATAAATCCTGCATTACCTTAAGGACCCTAAACTATGGGAATTATGGTATATTCCTGATTACGGGTAACGCAGAATTTATATCCCCAAACCCTAAACCCTAAAACCCTATGGATCCCTTAAGGAACCCCTTAAAGGTACCCTTATAGATCCCCTTTAAAGGATTTATATCATAAACCGCAAAGGAACCCTCATCCCGCCTGGGCAACGAGTCCGAAATCCAGAAGACAAAGTTTCCCTGCGTCTGGGCCTTCTCAACAGGGGTGCTTTTTCAGGCTCCTTTAAAGGATTCCTCACAAGGGGGCTTAAAGGTTGATGATATTCCTGCATTACCTCAAGGACCCTAAAACATGGAAATTATGGCATATTCCTTGTGATGGGTAATGCAGCCTTCGTATCATCAACGGTGGTATAAGTGGGGCTATAAGTAGGATAGCTATGGTTATAAACCGTATTAGGGGACTTAACCTACTTATAACTAGCGGAGAACCTCCAAGTTCAGGAGGCATCACCAAGGAACCCCACACCAAGCACCACACCCTAAGCCCTCAAACGACAAGCTTAAACCCAACCCCTATAAACGCCAGATAGAAGTGAGTCTTCAGAGCCCTACAAGCTTAAAAACCCAAGTGCCAAGCTTGCACCCAACGGACCACAGCGTGGCCACAAGAGCCAGAGCTCAAAACCCTAAACCCTAAACCCTAAGTTTAGGGTTTAGGGTTTAGGGTCCAAGCCTTTTGACTCTTCGCAATCTGTCTGTCTCGAACCATACATTACTTGGAGGATCATGGGACTTAGTAAGTAGGGTTATAAGTACCATAATTGGGGTTATAAGTATAGTTACCCTAATAGTAACCCTAGTTACTAAGTCCCATGATCCTTTAAGTAGCCCCTACTTGCAAGCCTAAACCCGGCATCCCAAACCCTACATTCGCAACCGTGAAAAAGAGAAGCCCCAGATCCTGCAGCCCCACGCGCTTAAATTGCGAAAAGTTCCCTTGTCGTCTATATAGGCTTACGCTGGAAGGTAACACACCCCAAATCCCAATTCTGGTTCTTGAGGCCTCTGTTAAAATGCCCGGAGCACTCCCTGGCAGTCCTACTACCCTACAAAACCAGTCATAAACGCCCTCATAAACGCCCGTACAAAACCCCTATACCCGCACATAAACCTAAACCCTGCCTTAACCTACCAACGCCTTCTTCTTTGCAGGGTCCCTATAAATGCCATATTAGTCTTTATAATAAGAACCTACAAATAAGTAGGGTTTGGTGGTTTAAAGTAAACCCTGCCTTCCGTGATCTTCAAGAGGTTGCCAGGGTGTGGGTCGCCATGGAAGAAGCCGATGTCCAGAAGCTGCGTCAGGAAGACTTCCTGGAAGGGTCTCTAGAGCTCAAAGCGCCCCATACCCTACCTAAACCCTCAGCCCCAAACCCTGAACCATAAACCCCCGAAAAACGAAACCATTACTGGATTCAGGCCTTAGGCTTAAACCCTAAACCCGAAACCCCGAACCTTGAAAACCTAAACAATTTGTTGGATTCAGAGCTCCAGTTCGGGGCTAGGGCTCTTGGTGCTCTATGGAGTCCAGGGCTTAGGGATATGTGGATGGATGTCGCAAGCACATAATTAGACGCAGCCGCGGAAGTGCAACCGAAGCTGCGGAAATGCATCCGGAAACGCCAAACCCAAAACACAAACTCTCTATATTGACCGTGCCGAAGCAACCTCTACCTCTCACTCCCACACTCCATGCCCCAGCAAAGCTATGTTTAAACCTTAAACTCGAGGAGGATTTACCCCCGCCCCCAAACTCCGAAACCTACACTGCCTGGTGAAGCTTTCTGGTTTGTCCAGTACACTAAAAACCTTGAAACCCTAAACATAAACCCCTAAACCCTAAACCTTACAACCCTAAAGATTAATCCCCAAAACTATACCCTAAACCTTTAAGCCTTAAACCTTCAACGCAAACTCCCAGATGTTTTCATGGCGTCCTGCCCCACGGAGATCAGCTCCCTGATCTCCTCTGAGCTTGAGGCTTTTTAAGGGTCCTACGGGGTCTGATAAGAGTCTTATAGTGTTAATAAACAGGGGCGTCGTTGTCATGGGGTTTTCAATTTTCTGAGAGACTTGAAAGAGGTTTAAAGTGTTTTCAACTCTTAGAAGGAGTCACGTGGAGTTTTGAGGGTTCTATATGACTTCAGATACGGGCTTACGCGGTTTATAAGGTTTTACGGAGAGCTTATGGCTTTAAAGGGTTTACCAAACGCAGCGTCCTGCGCCGGCAGGGTGCTCAACTTCACGCCGTTCACCCACTTAGAGAGCATCACGCGGCGCTTCGTCAGCGACATGAGCGGCCCCGGGATGACAATCCTGCCAAGCGGAACCCTAAACCCCTACACCTCTAAACCCCTAAACCCCTGAACCCCTAAACCCCTAAACCCCTGAACCCCTAAACCCCTAAACCCCTGAAGCCCTAAACTCTAAACCCCTAAACCGGGGTTTAGGGTTCTGGGTTGTAGGTCCGGGCCACGCTCCGGCTTCGGTTTGGGGTTTTAGATAGCACCCTGCAGAACCCTATAACACCCTAGAGAAACTCCACAAAAGTCCGAAACAAAATCTGTCAATCTCTACAAAACCTGCAGAACCTCAGCCCTCGAAGTGTTTATGAACCCCTAGGGCGTCGCAGAAATTCCTGCAGAACCTCAGTCTTCGAAGTTTTATGAAACCCCAGGCGTCCTGTCCAGTGCCTCGGGCTCCAGGCTCTCCTTCAGCAGCTCTTCCATGCGGATCGCATTCAAGGCCTCGGGTTTAGGGTTTAGGGTTTAGGGTTTAGGGATTAGGGTTTCGTGTTTAGGGTTTAAGGGTTTAAGGGTTTAGGTTTAGGGCTCTTCCATGCGGAGCGCATTCAAGGCCTCGGCAGTCGGGTTCAAAGCAGAAGCCTAAAAGTTGGAAACCCGAAAGCCTCAATCCCTAAGAGCAAAGTATAGGGAATCCCAGCACGATTTGTCCTTAATTAGGTTTCCAACTTTTTGGAGTTTACTATAGGATCTTTTTGAAGGCCTTTTTGGTGACTGCTTGGTGGGGGCGCAGGGTTTACGGGTCTAGGGTTTGGGGTTTGGGGTTCAGGGCGGCCGTAATTGTCGAAGTTAGATGTGCAGTCCTCGAAAGCAATGGATATGCACGCATACCCCAGACCGGTGCAAATGAAGACCGGAGTACGAAGGAGCACACCTGTAAACTTGTGCACTCGGGCAAAGTCATATAGAGATGTCTGTTGGTGATTTCGATCCCAAAACCAAAAGAATTAAAGATGCGAAGAAAGCTCCTGACCCCAGAACCGCAACTATTGCAATATTCAATTGATTGCATGATAAAGCCAGAAGATGCTGAGGTCAACATCAACCAACTACCAATACCAAAGCTAAAGACATACAAAGAAAACTGTAGAAATAAAAACCTAAACCCCAAACCCTAAACCTAATCGTTTAGGGAACCCCTAAAGGAACTCTTCCGGAATCCTCGAGCTCCCTACTTGGAGGATCATCATGGGACTTAGTAAGTAAGGTTATAAGTACCCTAATTGGGGTTATAAGTATAGTTACCCGAATGATAACCCTAGTTACTAAGTCCCATGATCCTTTAAGTATGAGAGGCCTCGTTTCGGAAGTCCAGCTCTGTGTAGAGGCCCTCGGCAAAGGTCTCTGTTAGGGCGATGTAGTCCTTGGCTTCAAGGGAGCTTTGGAGTACTTTCGGGGTTGAGGGCCTAGGGTGTTTAGGGTTTAGGGTTTAGGGTTTAGGGTGTAGGGTTTAGGGTTTAGGGCTTAGGGTTTAGGGTTTAAGGGTTTGGGGGTTTAGGGCGGTTGAGGGTGTAGGAGGGTGTCCTTAAAGCATCGCGCGGGACTTCGTAACTGGAGTAAATATTAAGGTAACGATACTTAGAATTTTATGATAATGCTAGATACCAAGTCCTTGGCTTCAAGGGAGCTTTGGAGTACTTTCGGGGTTGAGGGCTTAGTTTCGACCCAAGGGTTTAGGGTGTGCTGAAAAGATCGCGGGACTGAGTAACTCGGGTTACTATTGAAGGTAGCTACACTTAAAATTCCTCATAACCCCAATTCAGGTACTTATTATCTTCCCAGTAAGTCACATGAACCTCCAAGTATAAGTTTAATTGGGTTTAAAGATACGGGCTTTAAAAGGGTTTAAGGTATCACAAGGGTGTTTGACGGTGCTTCATCAGGGTTTGATAAGATTCCATTGGGTTCTGCTGGGCTCTTATATGATGTGTATGATGTCTGGCTGAGGGGCTTGGAGGTAGCTTCCGTGTCAAAAGAGGGTCTTGAAATCTAGGATTTGGGAATCGGAATCGCAACTTTACGCTTCGGGCTTCAGGGTCTCAGTGAAAAGTTTGAGGGCTAAGGTCCCAAACCTCAACCCCTGAAGCACAAAGCTTAAGCCCTAGACCCCTGAACCCTAATCTGGGGGGTTTAAGGCTGGGGGTTTAGGGCTCTTAACTCTAAACCCAAAACCCTGAACCACTATGATTTAGAGGCGCCCCCCTTACGGGGGATAGCAAAAACCCTTGCTAGCACACTCCATTTGCCATCACCCCTTATGGGGCTCCTCTACATCATGATTCAACAAACGTCTGCCCCGCTCTGATGCTGAGCTCGCGTCCGTCTCATCTGCGGTGAAGCGCCGAATCAGCGGCTGCATCACATCCGCCAAGCGCCGCAAGACGTAGAGGTCCTGGCTTAAGAGCTTTGGGGCTTCTTTGGGGGCGGCCGTGGGGTCTGGGCGAAGGCTGGTGCTGAGCGATTTAGGCTAGACCCAAGAGTAACCTAGGAGAAGAAGGGTGCCCTTTTGGGTTTAAAGAGGGTTATAAGGGAACCTGAACCCTAAAAACAGGGAGTAAGGGCCTTCTCTGGGTCCTAGTAGGGTTTGGGGTGTAGGATTGAATGCTTGGGCTCAGGGCTTTGGGTTTTCAAGCTACTGATATCACTGTTTAAACACACCAGCACCCTACTCAATCACCAAAACCTGATTGGCCCAAGAACCCTCGGTCGAGCAATTGGGATTTGGAGTTGAGGCTTTAGTTGTCGCATTTTGGAAGGGTTTAAGTGCGGCTCGGTGTTCAGGCTTTTGGGGTTTAGAGTGAGGGCTTACCAAAATTCAAAAACCGACCCTGAAAGCTACAACCTCGCCAGCTGTAGATCAGAGACCTTCAACCCCAAACCCGATACGCAGAAAAACCGAGCGGTGTCCTAAGCACAATGGATGAAAAATCAAGAAACCTAGAGAAACCCTGGAACAAAGACCTAAAGACCATGAACCCGAAAGCCTAAAAATAACAAAAAAAAAAAAAACGAACCCTCCCCCGCCTCAAGCCCTCAAGCCTGAAACTTTAAGCCCCATACAATGAACGCCTTCAACCTTCAACCCCCCAAGCAAGGCTTCGGGTTTAGGGTTTAGGATTTAAGGCTCGGAAAAACAGAAGTCAAGAACCCCTAGAGTTTAGGACAGTTTCGGGCTTAGGGTTGAAAGGGGTTTTCCCCTCTCAAGCCATAAAGCACCAAGCCCCAAGCTTAATGTAGGGGCCTTCTAATCATTGGAAGAAAGCCTTGTGTGCTGCAACTCTTCGCTCATAGGCCCTATACTATACAGTACCCTAGAAAATCCCAAAACACCTACCCCTTTGGGTCGCTGCAAACCTGTAAGCCGCGCAAAAGCCCTTCTACGCCCTGGAAACGCCCCAGGAACAAAGCTTTAGAGGCCTAGAAAGCCTTAGAAAGCCCTCCGAAGCCCCTGAGCCCCGAGAACCCAGAAACTCCAATATCCCTTAATTAAGGAATATTCCTTAAATCATATTAGGGATCCTACTATAACTTAAGGAATATTCCTTAATTCATATTAGGGATCCTACTATAATTTAAGGAATAGTCCTTAATTCATATTAGGGACCCTACTATAATTTAAGGAATATTCCTTAATTCATATGAGGGACCCTACTATAATTTAAGGAATATTCCTTAATTAAGGGATATTGGAGTCTCTGGGAACCCCGAATCTCTGCCTTGGAAATGGTGCTGAGAGCCCCTGGCCTGCCAAAACAGCATTTGGGAGTTTCCGAAAATAGGGGATCCATTAGAAGCTGCCCCCACCCTGTAATAGTGGTATAATAGGAATATAATAGGGCCCTAATATAATCCCATATAATCCTTATGGTCACTATTACAGGGTGGGGGCAGCTTCTAAGGGATCCAAATATAGTACCTTAAGTAATAGGATCCTTATTATAAGGACCCCAAAATAAGGTATCCCGAATTTGCCAAAACAGCATTTGGGAGGTTGTCAAAACTAGGATCCCTTTTTGGGGTACCCAGAGCCTCCAAAACCCCTTAATTAAGGAATATACCTTAAAGTATAATAGGATCCCTAATATGATTTAAGGTATATTCCTTAATTAAGGGGTTTTGGAGGCTCTGGGTACCCTAAATATGAGGTGCCGTATTATAATAAGGACCGAAAAAGGGACCCTCATTTTGACAACCACCCATTTGTAAGGTGTGGTAGGTAGCTTCGTGCTGATGGTTAAACCAGAAGTGCCAACCATAAGCATAGCAGGGATTCTACAGGAAGGTTCTAAACGATTTAGGTTCTAGGTTTTGTTTTGGTAATCCGACTACGATCGCAGCAACAAGCAGAACACAGACTGAGGTTATGCTTCGAGCCCTCCACATTCAAAGGATTCACCCTCGCTATCATCAGCACATCACGGGAACGATGATGCGAACAGGCCTATTTGCTGTCGTCCCCGACACTGAGAAACCAGGACTCGTCAGTCTTTCTTGCAAGGGGTCAAGTGCTCTTAATGGGGCTTAAGGGCCAAGAGTTGAAATCTTCGTTTGTTGGGGGTCCGGGTTCAGGGTTTCGAGGAGGTTTTAATCTAGGGTCTTCGGTCTCCGGGCCAGGGCGGTTTTACACTTGGAGCCACCTGTTTGTCCCCGTACTCATTGTTCTTCTTGCTTTTCCGGTCCCCGACTGTAAAGACAATGACGAAGCTTTGGGTGCCCCTGAGATATGGGTAGTTGTCAAGATTATGGTCCCTTTTTGGGTACCCTAAATATTAAGCGCCGTAGTATAATAAGGACCCAAAAAAGGCACTATAATTTTGACAACCACCCATATAACACTGCAGAAATCCACGAACGCAACTGCATCCTAAAATGGCCGCGTCGGCAGCCTCAAACTGAAAAAGCCATGTCAGAACCCTCTTCGGCCCCATAAGACCCCATGAAACACCCAAAAAGATTCGGTGCAACCCGCTGAACCGTCCCACAGAAACATGTACTCTTGAAGCCTCCCTAAACCCCTAAATCATAAACCCTAATCCCTACACCCCAAGCCCTAAACCCTAAACACTAAACCCCAATCCCTAATCCCTACACCCCAAGCCCTCACTACTGAAAGGAAGTCGCCCGAGGTCGAGACCTCTGAACTTTCACGGCGACCTCCTCGCCAGTCTTCAATGTGGCACGGTAGACCTGCTTAGTAGGGAATGGCGGGGACTGTTTGGGGTTCCTTTAAAGGGTCCGATAAGGGATCATATGAAGGGATCTATAAGGGGTCCTGGTTGGAGGCTTAGAGATTAGGGTTTAGGGTTTTGGAGTTAGGGTTCAGGGTTTAGGGTGTAAAGTTTAGGGAGTAGGGTTTGGGGTTTGGGGTTTTAGGTGCGGGCGAGAACGATCATTACAACAAGCACAGTAAAAAGAGGAATGGTACAGAATAGTCGAAGTAGCAATACTTGACCCGCAGTCGATTTCAGCTCCAGGATTCCAGGTTGGTGTTTGGGGCTGTGGGTTGAAAGCTTCGGGTTTGGAGTGGGCAGCTAGCGTTGAGAGTAGAGGGCTTATAGGGCTACTCTGAGATACTGTCGGGTTTTGGGTTTGGAGTAAGCACTTCGGATCCATATACTGGGAGTTCGCAAAACAGGACCAGACGCAAGATGGATCAGCCCTTCTTAGAAGGAAGAGACCTTGGACGAATGGTCGGATTCGTTCCTTACTTGTTGGGGCGACTCAACCTCAAACTCTCAACACCCTGTACCCTAAACCCTAGACGCTCATCCCAGACACTCGTGAGTGTCTAAACCCATGACTCACCAGAACGTGCACACGTCTGCCCACCCGAGGCTCCCAAAACCGTATCCGCCTCAGACACCGGCATCCCAAGCACACATCAATGGTATCACCTGGAGCCCAGCATCCTAAACCCTTAACCCTAAACCCCTGAGCCCTACTAAACCCTAAAAGCCTCAACCCCTGAACGCCTGAACCCTAAACCCTTAACCTTTAAACCCTTAAAGTGCCTGCGCCAGCGAGGCCGCTGCGATGGGCTCCTCGGATTCGCTAAAATCCGAAGAGAAGGGGCAAGGTTTAGGGCTTAGAGTTTAGGGTTTAGGGGTCTAGGGGTTCGGGTTTAGTTCCTGTAAGTGTTGCTTCAAAAGAAGGGCTACAAGGAGAGGTCAGGGATTAGGGCTGATCCTTTATAGGGCTCCTTAAAGGATCTAAAATGGGTTACGTTGAAAAATATGCGGTCCTGAAGACTTAGAACAGGCTTCCTCCAGAGTGTTCCTGTACAAGTTCCATAACGGATCTGTGCCCCAAACCCTGCCCGAAGTATTCAGCTTCTTCTCCAATGTACACCCCTGGAATCCCACAAAGCCCTAAGGATAAATTGTCAAAAAATCCTTCAAAATCTGGTCGAAAGTTGACTGCTAACCGAGTAGCTGCGCTGAAAGAGCTGAAGAGCTCCTCAATTGACTGCCCAAGCTCCTTCCCGCAGAGCTTGAGGGTCGAGGTTTTGGGGCATGAGTCATGAGGTGTACTACAAGGGGTCATCATGAGGATTTAGGCGGCTTCGATTTACGGCTTCAAGGGTTTAAGCTTTAAATGTCCTTTGTGTATTCCTGAAAGGGTTCCTTTAAGGGTGCTTTGAGGGTTCTTAAGAGGTTCAGTATCCACACCAACTAGTCCTAGTTGAGTAAGGTTTGGGCTTGAGGACTTTGGATTGAGGGGTTTGGGCTTTGGCTGCAGGGTTTAGAGTTCAGGGCTTGGGGCTTAAGTTTAACGATTATGCAAGAGGTTAGGGCCGGTTAGGGCTGAAGGCTCGGGGTCTGAGACGGGTGGCGGGGTCCTCATAAGCATATCAGCCACATAACACCCCTAAAAATCTACAACCCACGGGGAACTTGAAGCCTCCGAATTCAGGGACCCTTACCGGGCGGATCCTCCTCAATGACGGCCTTGGCCTCCTCGTTCGAGAAGGTCTCAATGTTGTCCTCAAGGCCCAGGGCGCCCCAAAGCTGGAAAGTTGAAACAAAGATAAGCCAATCAAACATGGTTTGGGATTTTGCGTTGTAGTTAATAGGGTTTCAAGGGTTGCAGGGGGCGCAGCTGGCTTCTGAAGTTACGTCTCGCGACTCGCTCAACGTCACAACACAGACCCTGCCAGCGAAACCCCAAAACCCCCTTGAAAAGCCTACGACCCAAAATCTGAACGGTTCTACAGAACCCATCTAAACGATCGTAGAGAACCCGTGAAGACATCTTATAAAGCCCTGCGAAGGCTACTTTCAAGCCTTACGTGGCTCTTCCAAATCCTTACGGCGGGGCATCCTCGACGGGACCTCTTCTTCAGGGATAAGACGGTTTGTGCGTCCTGCAAGCGCGCCAGCTCCTTCATGGTCTTCTCGGGCAGCACATCCGGCCGAATGGACAGGACCTGCCCGAGTTTCACGAAGGTCGGCCCCAGCTCCTGCAGGGGTTCAGTCATGCTTTGCAGAGGTGACGCAAGGGCTCACGACCATGTGCTCACAGAATGGCTTTGGGGCTTAGAACCGAGGCTTAAGGCATTTTTGGTTAGGGCTCAAAGTACACCCCTTATATCCTAAACCCTAAACCCTCAAACTCTTGAGCCCTAACGCGGAAAGCCGTTTGGAGTGTGGAGGTTTACAAATTCAAGGGTTTAGGTTTTCGGCCTCAAGTGCGACGAAGTCAATCAAGCAGTCTCGGACTTGCTTAAAGGATCATGGGACTTAGTAAGTAGAGTTATTATTAGGGTAACTAAACTTATAACCCCAATTAGGGTACTTATGACCTTACTTACTAAGTCCCATGATCCTCCAAGTGGTCCCATGAGCATCTTGAAAATGATGAAGCCCCCCGCATCGTGGTTTCAAGACTCCCTATACATGATCGAGTGGTGGAGTATCACCACTCCCATTTGGATATCCCAACGACCGAGTTACTCTGACTTGAGGTGTTTCAAGCTTCGTCGAATGCAGGAGACAGACGCACTAGAAATGGCATAGCTCCTGTATGGTCACAGTATCCCCCAACTTTTGCACCACTAACCCTACAATCCTAAACCCCAAGTATGCAAGTATTGGGAGTTTCAACAAATAGAGGAACAACCGAACAACCTTTCAATAGCCCCTATGAGCCCTTGATATACACACCCGCAACACAAAAAAAACGATCCCCAGGATCCCACAACCCTCCACCTCCTCAACCCCTGAAGCAGGAATCCTCAAACCCCAAACCGGTGGTTGTCAAAATTAAGGTTTTTTGTGTCCTTGATATAATAGGCAGGTCTTATTTAGGGTACCCAAAAAGGGACCCTAATTTTGACAACCACCCAAAGTCTAAACCTTGAACCCGAGCCCCTAGGCCCAAAACTGCTCCTGCAGGTTGTTCACGGCCTGCCTCGCCAAGTCCTGCTCGTCCTCCCACCTCGGCTCGCTCTGCTCGTCCCAAAACCCCTTAAGTTTTGACCCTAAACCCTCGAACCCTGAACCGTATAAACCCTAAACCCCCAAACCCCTAAACCCTAAACCCCAAGCCCTTAAACCCCTAAACCCCAAACCCCTAAACCCTTAAACCCTAAAGCAAGCAAAGCAGAAACGATCCAACCCTGAGTGCCCGGAGCCTCCCCAGAAGCCCGAAACCCAAAGGGGAAAAGGCGTGACCCAACATGTGGACCCCTACCCTATAATGGGCTATATAATGGGCTATATAATAACTATATTCAGGGTATATACCTAGGGGTCCTTATTAAGGGTCCCCTAGATCCGAAACTCTGGAAGAGAAGGGTTGAGGGCTTTCTAGGACTTAGGATTCAAGGCTTCAGGCTTTTAGGATTTAGGATTCAGGGCTTAAGGCTATTGAGGATTCAAGATTTAGGCCTTTTTACGATTTAGGATTCAGGGTTTAGTGCTTGTTTGGGCATTTAAGATTCAGGTGTTTTCAAGTCCCTGCCCCACAACTCTAAAGCCCCGACAACCCTCTTGACGGACGGGGGCCTGAGCAGTCGGAGTAGGGTCTTGGAAACATCCCATGATGAGACTGTTAGAGGTTTAGGGCTTAGAGTTTATTGAGGGTTTTGGGTTTAGAGTTTAGGGTATAGGGAATTGAGGGTTTTAGGGTTTAGGGTACAGGGAATTGAGGGTTTTAGGGTTTAGAGTATAGGGAATTGAGGGTTTTAGGGTTTAGGGTATAGGGAATTGAGGGTTTAGGGTTTAGAGTTTAGGGTTTCAGGTGTTTGGGGTTTAGAGGTTTAGGGTTTAGAGTCTAGGGTGTAGGGTTGAGTTCTGGAAGCGACTGCAGTTCTACGTGGGGAGGGCTCTTCAATAGAATCCCTCAATAAACAGAGTAGCCGTTTCATATCATGACGCCGTGTTAAGGAAACCCCACCAGAGCAAGAAGGGGTAAAGGGTACCAGTGGGAACCCTTCTCCAACAAGGGCCTGCCAAGCCACAGGCGGTTGTTGAGGACCGAATAGAAGAATCGAGTGATAAACGGCGTGGAGATCCTGTCATAGTTTGCTGGGTTGTTGATAAGCCCCTAAACTTAAGTATCATACTGACGAAACCATACTACCTGAAAGCCTTATACGGCCCCCTTTAAAACTCAGCCTGCCATAGTTTGGGCCAAGGTGTGGAGGTTTGAGGGGTTGGGTATGTGGTGAAGCATTGTCCTTGGAGCCGCGATCTGGCACGTAGCTGAGCTCTGACCCTTAACCTGGTTTATGGCCCAATATAACATTGAGAAGGTCTTGGTCTAAACACTAAAGAAATCAGGATTATTCTGCACGGCCTCCGGGGGGATGTTCTTGCCAACTCTCCAGATATGGACTCTGAACCATGAACCGCAAGCCCCGAAACCTGAACCCTAGAAAGCCTTTAGAAATACTCATCAACACATAGCACATAGAACAAGCAACTACAAGAATCTGAACTTGCCCAAGTATGAAGCACAACACAAAGAACCACAATAACACAACCCAACCACTTAATCTAACCAAAACATAACACATGAAACAAGCAAAATACGAAATCATACTTAAGAAAAACGTACACATGGTTTACAGTACATGTAGTTGGCTCTTTGTTGACAACATTATATATATATATGTACACCTTTAGGAGTAGTTGTATAATCAAAACCCAAAAACTTTGGCCTCAGGAAGCGACTCCACCGATCCGCCAGTTCCCCGGGCTTCGTGTCCTCGGAAGCTCTTGGTGTCAAGGGTTCTGTTAGGGGCGCTGGGGTGGAGGGTTTAGTGCTTAGGGCTTAGGGTTTAGGGTTATATAAGGGATTAAGGGTTTAGGGGTTTAGGGTTTAGGGTCATATAAGTTTATAAGGGATTAAGGGTTTAGGGTTTTGTTGGGGACGTGTGGGAGGAACCGTTTAGATCATGCCGGGGCGTGAGGGCTCTAGGTTTAGGGTTCTAGGTTTAGGACTTTAGGGCTTTAGGGGCTTAGGATTTTGGGGTGTAGAGTTTAGGACTTGAGGGCTTCAGGCTGTGGGATGTCGGGGGGCTCTACGAGGTGTCGAGAGTTGTGCTTTCTCTTTCAAAGCTCTCGGGGTCCAGCCGCTCCCAAATCCCAAACGGCGAAGCTCGCAACCGCAAGCTCCGAAACCTAAAGCCCAAAACGTCAAAAATGCCAAAAGCTGCTAGAATGTAGAACCCCGAACGCTGCACGGTAGAAGCAGCAATTAATAACTCCACAACCGTAAACAACCAAAAAAAAACAACCCCAAAATTTGGAAGGCCTTAACTCCGTTTGTACCAAAACACCATGAACTCTGAAACACCAAATCCCAAGCTCTATAAAAGCCCTCATGGAGCCATTCGAAAGCCGCTATCAAATGCTTTGTCAAAAGCACCTGTAGCGTCCGACTACGACAACCTCAAAGCAACCCCCAATAAAGCCCTCATACAGCCCCCGGCTTCAGACCCAATACTAGTATTGAGAGGCTCTGTTTAAACAACACTTGAAGAACCCCTAATTGTTTGAAAGCCCTTGCGTCAATACAAAGAAACCCTTCAAAACACCGTAAAATGAGGAAAATCACATAAACCCTAAACCTTAAACCCAACACTGAATGCCAGGGTGCCCAGAACTTCGCGATGCCTGGGATGTGCTCAGGTTTACCCCAAAACCCTCAACCTAGTAACCCTTCTCACCCTAAACAAGAAACCCTAAACCCTAAATCCCTGAATCCCCGAAAAACCTCAGACCGGAAACTCCTATACCCTCCTTTAGAGGAAACGCCGCGCGGGATCCTGTGGAGGGCTCACGGTAGGCTTAACATCCCTGGCATATCAAATTAACTCCCTGAGAGTTCACGGGTTTAGCGTCTTTGGGTTCAGAGTTTAGTGCTTCGGTTGATGATATAAATCCTGCATGACTCATAATACGGAATATACCATAATTCCCATAGTTAGGGTCTTTGAGGTAATGCAGGATTTTTATCATCAACCGTTCGGTTGAATTTAGGCCAAGTGTGTTGATGATGCACCCAAACCCGTACCTTTGAAGGTCCATCCAGACGAGGCTATGCGGGTTGCATCTTCGTTGGCGATGGGAGGCCAAAAGGGGGGTTTAAGATTCTTGGGGTAGGGATTCCTTAATGCTGCTGATGGACAAAATCCTGCATGACCCTAAGTATGGGAACTATGGTATATTCCTTATGATTGGTACTGCAGGATTTTGTCCATCAACACTATGAACCCTATTATGGGAACCCTAATCCCTACCCCCCATAGGCTAAAGCCCCTTTTGGCCTCCTATGAGTAGATCCCCTGTACTAAACCCGTATAGATCCCTTATCGTAACCCTATAGACCCCTTTAAAGGGAACCCTTTAAAAGGAGCCCTAAAGCCCCTTCTGGCCTCCTATGAGTTGCTAGCCTCCGCCCCGTGGCCTCCCCCCAAAATGCCTAAGTCCAGAGCCCCTGTAGTAGCAGTAGCAGTAGTGACACTAGTAGTAGTAGTAGTAGTAGTAGTAGTATTCATTCACCACGCAGCGAAGTGTCCGTGTTCGCCTAGCGAGCAGACAGCAACCGGGTGTTCCGGTGGCTGGAACCTCTTTTGGGTTCTGGAGGGCAGTGCCAGCTCCATCGACTAAGACTACACTTGCTCAGCATCAGGCACCAGGAGGTAGTACCTGACGTAGCCACACTATATATATGTTGTCATCGTGTTCTGTACTGACTGGCTTTGCGTTGCAGGAGTCATCAGTGATCCACCACTTTTCTGCTCCAAACAGCGGTTGTCCTCGTAAGATAGTTCTGTAATGCCCCATATCAGGAGTGGCCCCGTAGTGAAGCTGTACAGCGACGACCTGGTAGTGGACATAGCGAACTTGCATTGTGTGCAGACCTGTAAAGAGTGGCATACGAACTGTGGTCGAGGCCACGACCAGTGGTCTGGTGTCCCTGCGCATGACTCCCTCGGCATTTGTGAAGCGTTGGAGTTGTATGCAAAGCATGGGAGACGGATTCAGCAGTGCATAGCGGGCTGTAACCTGAGCACTCCACCCATCAATGGCTGCTTGGAGCTCCAGACTTGGACCTGCCGGCAGCGCAATCGGAATGGGAGCTTGGGTAGGCCCCTTGTCAAGAGTGGCAATACCTCCAGGTACAAAGTTTCGGGCCTCCCAGCCACCATTGAACCCACTATGCGAGAACCTGGGTAGAAGGTATTGTAGCAGTTCAGCTGCATCGTGCTGACGATGCACAGAAGGCCAAGCTTGCAGCAGCATAAGCCACGGTACCGAGTGGAGTACCTGAATGGGGCAATTGGGTGTGGCAGTGATTGGTGGACATAACATGGTAAGAGCCTGCGGTGGAGGCGAAACGTAGGCATCATGCAGCCTAGCCTGGAGGATTGTCCACAATAGTGCATAGATCGTAGAGTGCAGGTAGCACAAGTTTGAAGGATTGTGGAAAATCAATCGAAGGACAGCCTTGAGACTAGGGCGCACACTCAGTATGGCATCTGATGTTGCCACACTTCCTGGACCAGGGTGTCGTAGTTCGGCCGATCGCGGCGAAGCCTGCAACCCAGGGTGTGCCACGATGCTTGTCCGATCCACTGGTTCAGCGTGCTCCACATGGCTCCTCCCTCTGGGCGAAGGGACATGCAGATCTGGAACTGAATCCAGTCGGAGGTCACCTCCGTGGTGAGCTTCCTCATGGACTTGAACCTCACCAGGGTCTCTTCCGTAACAGCCTTCCTCATCTGAACCAGTTGGGCCAGCAGATCTTCCGCCGGTATTGGCCTCACCGAGTTGTCGACTTCCAGACATTGTTTGGTAGGATTCCATGTAAGATGTTTCCAATGTTTCTGATCGTCGATCCAGTTCAGGTTCTTGGCTTTGGCGAGAGCATCCTCGTCCGCAATCATGTTGGTCAACCTCTGGTGTAAGGTGATGAGCAGCTGCTTGAAGAGCATGAGTTTGAGGGAGTAAGTAATCTTCTCGGGTTCTTCCTCTTTCATCTTCCTCCATTTCTCCGCTGCTTCGCAGAGAACCGGTACCATCCCTTCTGGCCCTGATCGTACAAAGAGGTAGAGGACCAGATCCTGACGGATGGCTGAGATGATTTGCTCCTGACGAAGGACCAGCTGGGATAGTCGATTCATCCTGTACTCCATCCAGTCTGGATCGTGATTTCCCAGTGGCTGCAGGTCCTGAGTCTGTGTCCAGGGATTGGGTGGATGGCTTCCGAAACCATTTGTGTAGCCCGTGACCTGGTTGGCACTGGATGGACTTGGTAGGCCCTGCTTTCCCTTGCCTTTGCCCTTGGTACCCTTGCCCTTGCCTTTGTTCCGGTCCTGCGGAGCCAGACGCTGCCTCTTGGATTGCTCGGTTTGATGCATCACATCTCGTCGTGGTTCCTGTTCCCGTTTGACCGGACCGGCATGGGCCCAAAATTGCTTCTCCTGTTCGTCCAGCTCCATGGGATCCGCGCAGAGTGTCATGGTGCACTGCTAGAAAGGCACAAATATGCAAAACATGACACTGTTTCCAATGACGATCTTTGTTGATGTTTCGCTGATGGCAGTATCGACATGGTACAACAGTATGTCGGCGGAAACCAGTAAGAAGCTTGAGAGTCGCAGGTTGGCATTCTTTCCACTCTGGATGTTGCATGGTGAGATGATACTTGATGCTGGTAGGGGTGGCTAGCCACTGGTAACACAGCGGGCAGTGGTGCTGGAGATACGAGTAGGTCTCCGGTTTCACAAGGAGGTCAGTCCACCTGCGGGCACTTAGTGTCTCAAGGACATGAGATTGCTGATAGAGAGGAGCAGCCTCGTGGCTCGGCGAAGTGGAGCTATCCTGCAGGGGAGCATCCAAGACAGGGGGTTCAGGTATATCGACAGGAGTAGGCGGGGGCATAGCAGCCTGATCGTTTGACAGGATGTGGGTCCCCGGAGACAGATCCTGGGGTGGCAGAGTAGCCGGGTCAGGGACTAGTACAGGATCGGAGTCATCAGAACTCGGAGCCAAGGGTGGGGCAGCAGCAGGAGGTTGTGTGGCAAGTCTACGAAGTACCTGACACCGATTGCGTTTAATGTGCTTGACGAGGCCATCCCATTGTCGAAAGGGATGGGCACAGTGTCTGCACGTTGGAAGTCCTTCTGTTCCATGTGCATACCTGTCAAAAGGCACCGAGACAGCAGCAGGTGTTTTGAGGCCATGCCACTTAGCCTCGTGAGAGCGGAGGAGCCGAAAGGAGGTAAAGACCCGATGACATTCCTGGCACTGATGTACAGCAGGATCTGTGATGCCTTCTGTGTCCCCAAGAGGGACCTGCCATTGGCGTTGCACTTGGAGGTGAAGTGTAGCGGCAGTGTCTCGAGCTGATTCCACCTGGGCTTGGGTCACAAAGCTCGTTTCAGTGCTCAGGCGGGTCAGGCTACGATGCAAGGCAGCGGCTTCCCTCTGTAGGTGCTCCAAAATGGTGGACAAAGAGCATCTGTGTAGAAGGTCCTGTGTGGATTCTTTCTGAAGATGTGCAAAGGATCGTGTGATGGCTCGAACCTGCTTGGTCATCATGTGCCGCATTCGCTGTATGTCCTTGGCACCTGGGTTGGATGCTGCGATGCCATAGAGCAGCGTGGGAAGCACTGTGGATTTCCATAGACTGAGACGATGCGTCTGGGCGAGATGCCTGGTGGAGCACAGTACACCACGGAGTCTTTGCCAGGCCTGATTCGCAGCCTGCAGCCGATAGGTGACTGCTTGTTTGGCCTGTGAATGGTAGGAGATGCGTATGCCTAAGTACGTGTGATGGTCACGCAATGGAATTTCATACACTGTTCCCCGTGGACTGCGAAAACGTAGGAGGTCCCCCTCGGGTTTGGGTATGAGGTGTCGGCGCAGCCAGCCTCGGATGAAACTGCCCTTATGTCTCAGTAGCAATGCTGATTTGGCCGAGTTGATGACCATACCATGGGCCGCAAGGGCATCGAGGATCTTACTAAAGCGATACACCATGTCGTCCAGCTCACGAGTGTTCTGCACAGTATCCTTGAGGTGTATATCATCAGCATAAATCGTGGAGCATTGCTCTAGCCAAGGTGCTGTGAGAAGCGGGTCCCCCTCAGCAAGGATCTCACGATATATCTGTGCTAGGGCGAGTGTCCAGAGCAACGGAGCCAGTTTACACCCTTGTCTAAGTCCTCTTTGGGCCTCCACCTTGGCAGTGTGCCCAAGGTGAGTAAGGACATAGGAGATTTCAGAGTGCCAGGACATGATTTGGTGTCTGAGCTCAGCCGGAACTTCGGACGCTAGTAAAGCCTTGTCCAGCAGGCGCCAGTCCATGAGGTCAAAAGCACTGGACAGGTCCAGCGATAGTTGTGCACCTGCAAAGTGTGGGCAGGGTTTCGGCTGTTGTGCGTGACGATCAACAACCGTAGGTGTTGAAATCGAGCAGCGATCCTGAACATATTTGCAGTGTGCAGCAACCCGATGTATGGCTTGGGCAGCATTGCGACCTGGCAGATACGCAAATTGTGCCTGGTCTGCAAGAAATCTCTCGGCGTAGGGGCGCAATTTCGTCTGCAGTATGGAAGCATATGCACGGCCACTGGATTCAGTTAACCCTATAGGTCTGAGATTCTTTGGTGAAAGTGGTCGCGGAATCTTGGGAACAAGAGTCAACCATGCGCTTCTCCAAAGCTCTGGTATTTGAGGCCATTGCCGGCACCATTGGCACAAGAGAGGCGCAACGAGGTCCGAGGTCAGCCTCCATAGAGAGTTTGTGGCTAAGTTCGGAGGTGTAGCTTTATGTGGTGACAATTGCGAAAGCGCCAGGGTCATTTCGGCCTCCGTGACTTCAATGTGAATGGGCTGTCGCTGGGGGCCCTGTATGCTGCCATCCTCGTCCGCAGCATACAGTTTGCGATAGTGCGTTTCCAGCTGTTTTAGCTGGGTCTTGGGATCCTGCAGGTGTCCGCCAGAATCTCGCAGTTGAACCTTCGGCTTGGAGGATTTGGGAGCTAAGGTACGAATGCCAGCATATAGCTTGCGGGAGTCGCCTGAGCTGGCAGCAGTCTGGAGTTCCTGTAGCCTACCATGGAACCAGTGCTTTTTGGCTTCTTTCCCGGCACGACGAAAGGCCTTGTGTGCCGTCTTGAAGTGATGGTAGCACCTGGAAACATAGAGCGGATTATGCTGAGCTTGAGCTTTGGCTGTCTTCCAGACTCGGTAGGCCTGCCACATGGAGCGAATACCATCCTGCATAGGCGGTGTTTGCCATAGTGCCAGCCGATGCTGTCCTGCGGGTGGCGGGAAGAATTGGGAGGCACAGTGGATCAGAGTTTCATGCAGTTGCCCAAGATCATGAACTCCTGGTAGGGACGCCTGGACAGCAGAGCGTAGACTTTGAACTCTCGGATCCCAGGTAGAGCGGCAAACCTGAATCAGGCCCCAATGGTCCCATGCCCGTTGTGGTGCCACCGGTTTGTTAAGAGTGTGGAAACGCTGAAGCGGGATGCTGGCCTTCAGTGGCAGGTGATATCCACCAAGTCTCCAGGCAGCCAGTCCCAGGCGGAGCGGTCTCGCCTGCCTAGCACGATCATCCGCTTGGCTGGAACGCATGATGATATGATCAATAAGGCTAGCACCTTTGTTGTGATGGTATGTAGGGCCAGCCGCCTTGCACCACGAGTTGAGGTGTAAGAGGGAGAAGTCCTCTACTAGGTGCTGCAACCTTGCCTGATCAGGCGGATGTGTGCTCGTACTGGTGCCTGAACGGATCCTGGTGCCGGCTGCAGCACACGGCTTGATCTGAGTATTAAAATCTCCAAGCATGATCACTGTGTTTCGGGCAGGCAGAGCTGCCAGGATCTTGCCAATGCACTCCCAGACAGCTAAACGTATGGTTTTCGAGGATTGCAGTGCGAGTGGATGAGAGTTGTGCGGCTTTTGATAGATGTGCAGCAGGTCAACTGCCCATTTATCGTGGAGTATCCTCAAGTGTTGCACCCTGCCCGGTTGAGGGTCGGCGTAAACAATTCTGCAGTTGCGGGTAGTATTCTTATTGAGAAGAATCAGGAGCCCAGCAGATTTGTTGTCTGCGGTTGGGGAGGTGTACACATCCCAGGTAGCAGTGGGGAATGTTGGCGCCACCTTGTCCGTCCAATGTGTTTCTTGGACACACACGATTTGGGGTCGTTCGTCAGGTGGCATGTTTTCAAGTGTCAGCAAGAATTCCTGCCACAGGGCCTGGGACAAGCCTCCAGCATTCCATGAGAGGAACAGCAGGCGTCCCTGGGAGACTTTCAGAGCGGCCTGCTGCATGCGTCGCTCAGCCTGAGGGGCGGGTCGATGGCCCCGATAGCCCTTGCAGAGCTGTTGCAGGGTACAGATACGACCTCGATAAATCGTATGCTGGGCCTCGTCCTGTGCAGCACGACGTAGGGCACGTTTGTAGGATCTCTTCCTGGCAAATGTGTGCGCATTTGAATGGACGGTGGCCTGATTGAGGGTCGCTGAGTGATGTGCAACTGTAGGATGCAGGGGGTGTGCAGATGGCACTCCCCAGATCGACCTTGGTAGTGCAAACAAAGTCGAGAGGAACAGGATGGGGCGAGGGCATTGCCTGGGGTACGGCGTCGTGCCCGGGGTCTGGCTGGGGCAATACGTAGTCGACGGAGGGCAAGACCTGTCAGCAGTGTGGGTTGATCGAGTGGCAGGTGTTAGTGTTTGTGCTCCAGGGAGAGGCCTCCGAGAGCGAGAAAGGCCAGGAGGGGTAAGGTGTAGGAGTGCTGGAGCCCGGATGGCAACGAGGCGAACAGGGAGACCCTGTTTGTAGAGGAAGAAGTACCGGGGCTTGGACTGCAGTGGAGCATATCCTAGCAGCAGCTTGTCCAGGCTGTTCGGCACTCCACAGGGGCCTGCAGTCTGATCACCCGGACCAGCCCACGATGAACAGATGACTGAAAACGGAGTGGAGGTCAGGCTAGGAGAGCAGGCGATGCCTAGAGTAACTCCTAGGTCAAAGCATGTAGTGTGGTTTTGTGGGGGGTCTCGCAAGACTGCCCTCACCGCAGAGTGTAGTTCATTGGGCTCCTGCCACGGCTTCCCGTCCCCCACCACGAAGGTGAGTTTCGGTCTCGTGAGCGGGTGGCAGCCGCTCACAACCCTCGCCCCTACCGACTGTTCGGAGGCTAGATGGACAACCAGCGGGTGTCTGAGAGATAACAGGTTGTCAGCCGTATGAAAAAGTCGGTCTCCGGAATTGGGACCGGAGTGGCTCAGGGCAGGTATGTTGAGATTATGAGAGAGGCACTTCGGGATGCCAGTTGTCCATGTTGTCAAAAATGCTGGCATCGACTTCGAAGGACGGTGCAGCAAATCGTCTACACATCTAATCCATAGTGTGCAGATCCAGGGCCGGAGGGGAAACCTTGGGTTGCAACGGCTCGGCAGAAACAGACTCACGGGATCTGATCTTGTTGGTCTGCGAGGTGCTAGTTTGTTGCATGCGGGTGGCATAGGGGGTGCTTCTACGATATTCAAGCCGACACCACTCACAGCATGGGTCCGCCAGACGATAGGCCAGCCACGTGCCCGGGATGTCCTGCACAAATTGGACAGGAACATATCTCGAGGTGATGTCTGCTCGCTCCACTGGCCTGCGCCCAATGGCGAAGACAGACCTGAAGGCAGGCTAAGGGAACCGCGAGTTGGGATTAGCAGCTGCTTGGGGGCGACAATCTCAAGATCTGAGAGCCCGTCGGGTTGCAGACCAGCTCCTGGTGGTGGAGGTGGGCACCGGACCGAAGCAGGTCCAGCAGCAGATGGTCTGGTGTGTCGAAGGCACACCAGGCAGTGTTCAGGTCTGTCAGTCAGGAAAGCGTCTGGCCACCCCTGCCAGGTGCAATGGCTGGAGCAATCATCACGAGAGCAATAGGCATGCAACAGAGTAGGGCCTGTTGCCAGTGCAGCTGACATACCTCGAGGCACGACACAGCAATAGTGAGCACGGTGTGGGGAGGCACCGCAGTGCCATGTGAGCCCGACTGGCATTGTCGTAGATGTGCACACTGGACGTTCAAGGCCTGGATGGGTACATGGAAAAGAGCTCAGGTGCCTTTCAAACCCCCAGCAGATTAACGAAGGGACCTGCAAGGAGTCGGGCGTGCCGTCGGGCATCCGACAGGTCGGAAGATACAAGCCTGATGGCCCCAAGTGTGGCAGGCAGTGACTGGTGGAAGGAGCAACGAAGGTTTGTGAGCAGGGAACCCACCTAGGTGGCTGCCCGATCCTAGGTGCAGAGGTCTGTAACTCCGAGCACTCAGTAAAGCGATCCCTGCCTGTGTCATCCTGGTTTGGCGAAGCCGCCAGTAGGCTAGACCTTAGAGGAGCGAAGACATGAAGCTTGCCCGATTGATGGGAGGGGAACATGTGTGTCTTCAGACAAGACTGGCTATGCCGATGCAGACGTGGACATGATGAACAGCAGGCTGGATCCTTGTATGCTGCACTGGATGAGGCCGCTGAGTCCGAGTGAAGTCCAGCGGCTCTATTGGCCTGGAAGATTTCTTCCATTTTCTTGGCCATCTTCTTGCGGACACGTTCTTGGTGCCTCGCAGCTTTGGTCATCCCAGTGCCACGGCCCTTGGCTGCAGTTGAGGAGGTCGTAAGTGGTTGATCAGCCGGATTGTCCGTGACATCAAACCAAATCGATCGTCTCGGCTTGGGCCGTGTCTGCATCCTCCTTGGTTTCGGAGAGGAAGCATCAGATCGAACCCGTTTGGGTCCTCGTTGAGGTGGATCTGATGGGTCGGCCAAGGTAGCAGCCGAAACCGTGGTCGGAGCATTAGGAGTCTCCGAGCTATGTGCTGTGGCCGATCGAAGGACGAGATCTCCTGCCTGTATGGTGAGCTTCGCTTGTGCAGGTGTGCAGTCCTTCTCTAGTTCAGAAGGGATGTGTGGCAGGCGACCACGAGCTTTGGGTGTCGGCTTGAGTCGGCCTTTGTCGTCGATCGCCGGGTCAGACCGCGAACTGGAGCTGGGCAAAGGTCTGGAGGAGGCAGAAAGCGCCGCGAAGTCCACAGCCTGTATCAAAGCACTGCTTCGCCGCTTGGACTCTGTGAGGCAAGGGTTGGCTTCACGGGCGGGCGTCCATGTGGCCTGCACAGCAGTTCCCTCAGGCAGCATGTTCTCGGAGCGCACTGAGAGCCAGAGGGCCACCAGCTCCACCGACTCAGCACTTTGTATAACCTGATCAGTACGTTTGCCATGTTTGTTGCTCCCCGAGGGAGCATACACCACCTCCCACTTGGCAGCCCAAAAGAGACCATCTCCACATAGTGGTATCCATCGCATGTAGTTCTCCACCTTGTGTTGCAGGCTGTCGCGGTGCAGATACACCCCTGGACAGCCTGCCAGGAATCTGTCGCCTTTCGACTCGTCAGTGCTCGGGAGAAGTTGGCCATGGTAGATGATGGAGTAAAGCGCCTCCATCTTACATCCGTGCCAGCCCCTTAGCCAGCCATCCTGACACAGCAGCTCGCAGTGCCCTGGATCCAGTGGTGTCCACGGGAGCCTCCACCAACCATCAGATTGCGGGACTGGGTCCCCAAGTAGGGTGGCAAGAGATGTGCCAGTGGGGCCTTGCCGTGTCCTGAAGAAGCTCTGCAGAAACCTCTCCACATCCAGGGTACAAGCAGGAGCACTCGGCGGTTGGGGCAGCTGTGTCCTGGCCTTGGCCCCCCAGATCAGTACCCGATCTGGAGAGGCAGGTAAAGCATGGTCGGCCAGGTTCCATTCAGAAGGGCCACCAGAAGATTGGGGATCAAAGGCCGGAGCGGGCTTCCTCTCTGTAGTAGGTGTCCCTGTAGCTGTGGCAGAAGCTGAAGACTGAGTCGTAGAGCTCGTGGTGTTCTGCGGAGCATCGCTGGTGGGATGCTTTCTCATCCTCTTGGGAGGAGGCGGACTCGGAGTACGAGGTTGGGGGATCGCAGTCTTGCCTCGCCTGGGCTTGGTGGGCCCAGTCTCCTCTTCCCTCGGAAGAACCAGGGCAGGCCGAGGTCTGCGCCAGGTCACCTGCTTTGTCCCCGGGTGGTAGTAGAAGGGCCGATCGCTAGCTTGGTCAACGTGTTTTTCCCAGGGTGCCTCAAGCGTAGCATCTTCCACCGGGGGATGGATATAGTGGCCAGCTGGATTCCGTTTGGGTGCCGCCGGAGGCACCATGGTCTCCAGGGCCTGATAGCCGAGGAGGTATCGGGCGCTGTAGATGGTTAATGGTGGGGGAGCACATCTCCACCTCAGACTCGGCTCCATTCCATCACACATGGAAGCTTGTGTGGCTTCCAACCCCAGTCGGGGAGCGAGGTGCTCCTTGTCGATTGTAAAAGTACGACGTTGTTCATCCCGAGGGCCTTGTATGATCCGCACATTCCGCGTAGTGTTGCGGTCACACTCCAAGGTAGGGAGCACAATCCCTCGGCGACCGACGAGATGACGTCTGTGACCGTCGATCACCTCTACTTCGGTCCCCACTGTAAGCGGGACGAGTGCTGCCTGCCACTGTGGCCGGTCAGGCTCGGAGGCAGGCTCCATGATCCCTCGAAGGGCGCAGGTGGGGCTCGTTAAGACAGGATAGTCCCTTGACTTATGAAGTTGAGGGGATGATACCTGCAAGTATGCGGCGAGAGGTCTCCCAGCCCTAATGGAAGCAAGGTGGTCAGAAGTAGTGGCAGTCAACTGTAGGACCACATGCTCTACCAAAGTCATCAATGTGGCTTGGTTTGTGGAAAGCTGCAGGCACACGCGATAACCACATGGTAGGGCTGCAGAATGCATGCAGAAGCACGGCAGAGTCTCATGTTGGCTGGTCACGGATTGCAGCTGCAGGACTGAGATCCAAGCCCCGTGGTGGGCAGGGAGAGCACCAAAGTGGACGTCTCGAGGGACCTGAGACCTGTGGCAAGCAGCGTTCGACAAAGGTATGCCAAGTGCAGATGGAGGGCACCGCTGACCTGGAGCCTTCGCGAAGTCATTGGAGTCTGCCATGAGGTCGGCCTGGGCAGTGCAGTCAGCATAAAGGATAGTCCAAGATAGCAGTGACAGCTGGCTCCGAAGTGGTGTCAGTACAAGTGCGCTGACAGAGACAGCACGTCTTTTGTGAGTCCCACTCGAGAGGCTGCTGGGCACAAAACAACAAGTCTGCATACAGGAAGAGACGGCAGAGAGCTGACAGCTGTCAGGTGCACCTGTAGTGCAAGCTCTGCAGAAAGCTCGTGCCTGGCCACCATAGGACCTGTTGTCTCGTGGCTCAGCTCGGTGGCCTA